GGAGAGCTGGGGAGCGGGGAGTGTCATATGATGTAAGGGAATCGCCCAGGAGAGAAGGTTATGTGTTTTCAGATTCAAGCAAACAATGAGTGCCCAAGATAATGAATGGGAAAATGAAAATCCTACTTCCATGTACCTTAAGGACATAATTTAAAATGCTGGGATAAAGGGAAATCCACTTCAAAGGCAAGGGGGGATTGATGGTGTCACTTGATTCTATAGGAACATATTATCCAATCACAAATCTATTCTGCAATTACTGTAGAGTATAGGTAGAGTAAGAACTGGCTCATAACTCTGGGATCTCAGAGTGTTTGCTCAATGTACCTGTTCTCAGAAGACTGGAAGTGTGTGCTCCAATAAAATGAGGTGAGAAGCCCACAGTTGGTGAACTCTGGGAGCAGGCTAGCAAACCAAGAGAGGAGCTGGAGACTCCTCGGGTGATGACGGAGAGGGTAGAACTCTTGTTGTGCAGCAGCCCGTCCAAGAGAGAGCAGGATGGTGTGAGACTCCAGGAAAGAGAAGTGAGAAATTGAACAGAGAGGTATCATATAAGGAACCACTGGAGACTGTGAGGAAACTGAGGAAACATAATCAGATTTAAGGAAATATAAATGAAGGAGGGACACAGTCAACTCCTAGAGAAAAGGTTGTATAAGAATAGAAATATTGGGGGCCCTCCCTGGGGCGCAGCAGGTTAGGACACAGCACTGCAAGCTGGCCTCAGTGGCTTCAGTGCGAGTTCGATCCCCAGCCCCATAGGTGACCCACATGGCACGGCAGATCTCTCCTGACCAGCCCGCTGCTCCCCTCAGCAGTGTATTTTGTCGGTCTGCCTGTTCTGTTCCCTACTCTGTCTCTGGTGACTCCTCTTACCACCATTGCCCCTGTGGCTGTACCCCATTTCTGTATGCATAAATAAATACATTTTTTTAAAAAAGACTAGAAATATTATATCTCTACTGTCCCACACGCTGCTCCCCTCAGCAGTGTGTCAGTTAACCTGCCTGTTCTGCTCCCCACTCTGTCTCTGGTGAATCCTCTCACACACACCCTCGACCTCTGGCCTGTACCCCAATTCTTGTATGCATGAATACATCTTAAAAAGAAACCCAAATATTGATACACCCTACCTGATTTCGCAGCAATAGTTATTTACGTAGACATAATAATATTGAGAATACTGGGTTTGAGTGGGGACATAACAAGATTCAGCCACTTTACATTAAAAAAAAAAAAAAGCCAACAGTTGATCTAAGTACAACTTACACAAAGCAGAGTGAACCACTTTAGGTATATGGCTCAATGAATTTCGACAAATGCATGCAGCCATGTGATGGCGATTAAGAGAGAACAGGTCCACCATCCAAAAGGCCCTCCTGTCCCCTGGGCAGTCAGTAACTCCCCCCTTTATGGCCCCTGGGCACCGTGGACCTGCCCCTTACCACTTTAGGTAAAGTTGTTCTTTTTTGGAGTTCGTGTAAATTCTGTGTCTGGCCTCTTACTGGCAGGACACCTCGAGTGGCCCCCATGGGCACTCTGTCAGCCCCTCATTGGTAGTCTGCTGTATGGATGTGGCCCACCCTGTCATCCAGGTTCAGGTGCCAGGTAGGAAGCGGCAGCATCTCGTCACAGCCCCCAGGCTGTTCCCCAGGTCCACTGGCACATCCCCACCCGAGGCCGCTGGTCCTGCTGTCCTCAGCGGGAGGCTCCTCTCTGGAGGCTGCAGGGAGCTGTCTACCCCCGGGACTCTCCTTCCTCTTCTTGCCTGGCGCTTCCTCACTGCTCTCAGGCTCCCCTGATGTCACAGCTCCTGATACTTATCGCCTGCTGCTCCCACCAACATGTGGGCTTCACGGGTTGTGTGGAGCACACCCATTTTGTAGACACTGCAGAGTGACTCAACATGGGCCTCCGAGAGCAGGGTGTGTGTCTTTCATCTTGGCCACTGCCTGCCTGGCACACTCAGATGAAAGGGAAGCAGTTAAGGGGTCCGGCTGCAAATGTTAACTCACCAGGAGGTGCCTTACAGGTGGCTCCAGGAGCCCCCCATGAGAATTAGGGGCCTTACAAAGTGATAGCCCGTGACCAGCCCCAGAGCCGGGTACGGAGGGGCCAGACCCTGCTCTGTTTGGGCCCTGAGGCCTGCACCCCTCACTGGGCTGTGTGGACCTCGGGCCCCTCATCAGCCTACCAGCACGGTCCTGGGGCAGGCTGCCTGTCGAACACTTGACCAGCTGGAAAAATGTCCCAGAACAAAGTGAAGCAATCATTCGCAGCTGTCGATTGATCTAGGCTCTGCTGGTAGCAGCAAAGGAACTTCGTTAAAATTGGCTGCTTCGGCAGCCACTGAGACGCTGCCGTGATCTGCACAGCTTACAGGTGGCCACTGGTGGGGCGAAGGTGTCCTGAATCGGGGTTTGTTTTCCGGTGAGGTGCCCCCCGCAGTGGCTGGGATGATAGTCATCATGTAGATTTTTCCTCTGCAACTTCACAGACCATCCTAGCAGGCTAGTTAGGGTTCTCTTACATCATTAGCAGTAGTAATTAGATCCAAATGGTTTGAAATATCTATTAATAATAACTTTTACCTGGAGGCTGCTGCTGCTAATTGTTTCTCGGGGGTGGTATTTTAGAAAAGTCTCAATAAAAATACACCTTCAGTGCTTGGCTCAACAAGGAGTTTTAGCACCGCACTTGGCTTTGCTGTGGGTAGTAGAGGCAGCACGGGCTGGCTGGGACGGGGTCGCCGGCTGGGACGGGGTCGCCGGCTGGCAGGCGCAGCCCCACGGCCAGCTCACTCGCGGGCCCTGCTCTAAGGACTCTGCTGAGCCAGCAGCGGGCGCTGGTGCCCAGCCGTCCTGCAGGTGAGAGCACCAGCCCAGAGTGGAGGCGTGAGCGCTGGAGCCGGGCAGGAGACTGGGGCTCGGACGGCCTGACCGCAGGACCTGCCCTTACGTCCAGGCTCACGCCTGTGCTGCTTCCGTGTTTTGAGCACCCACTGTGTGTCCCGTCCCGTGTGGGTGGAAGAGGAGAGGAGGGTAAAGGCACTAGGAATTGGTCCCTGATCGCTCTCTCACATTCTATCCATCCCTTCCACTCATTACTTATAGATTTACCAAGAAAATATGTACCAGACACTTACTACCTCAGTCATTGAGAAAATTGTCAAGACAAATGTGATTTTTCATGTGCTGCTTATCGTCTGGTGGGAAGGGGTGTGTGTGTGTGTGTGTGTGAGAAAATGTCAGCTGGTAAGCACTAACCCAAGGATTAAATAGTGATGTGAGGGTCCCCTCTCTAGATGGCCCCTGAGAAGGCCTCTCTGTGAGGACGTGCCATGTCAGCTGGATGACAAGTCAGACCTGAGGGAGAACTTTCCAGGCAGCAGGAGCCCCAACAAGTGCCCGAGCTTCAACTTGGGTGAAGGGGAGAGTGGGCACACGAGGTCAGGGGAGGAAGGTCACCCGTGGTGGCCTGGGGGAGGCCAAGCAGGCCTTGGGGCTTTATTTGTAAGCAAAATCGGAAGACGTCTGAAGGTTGTGGTGTGGGGTTTGGGGCCTGCTTTTTGCCTAGGAGAGAGCATGTTGTGTGCTGGGCAGTGACTGACTTGGGGGCCAGTGTGCCAGCAGGGAACTGACTGAGCTGCTGTGGTGCTGTGGTTTGGCAAGAGATGGGGATGGCTAGTATGGTGGGTGTGGAGAAGAGTACTAGGGTCTTGGTGTGTCTTAGAGGAAGCAATGGCTTAATTTGCTGATTAATTTGAGGTGGGAGCTGGGAGAGGGATTTGGCCTGAGCCCCTGGATAGCGAATGATGCAGTTTAGTCATACTTAGAAAACTGGGGTGACGCTGCCTGGGAGGGTCTGTTTAGGTGAACCTCTTGCTGAGCTGTCAAGAGGGCACCTTTATATTTGAGTGGCATTCCAGAGAGTGAGTAGGGCTGGAGATCCGGGCTCGGGAGTCTGGTGTGGGGAAGTAGATGGAGGACTCCGAGTCTTGGGATGGGCCAGCGTTTGCTGATGAGCCGAGGAGAGCCAGCCAGGGGCCAGGGAAAGAGCCAGACATGTGCAGTCTCAGGAAGCCAGGAGGAAAGGGCAGGGAGGGACACCAAGGTAAATTCAGGGTGGAGAAGGATCTGACAACATGAGGTCGTGGCTGGGCCCAGGAAGCGCCATTCTGGGGAAGCCTGCTTAGAAGTGGGGGAAGGGGACATGCAAAGCGCAGAAGCAGACTGTGCCCTAGACCACACTTTCATGACAGGGAGCGAGAGGCCATCACCAGAGGGGACGCGGGGTGGGCAGGGTGACCCGGAGCAGGGCCCAGAGCCCTCGGAGCAGACACGTGGCCATGGTTACGCCAGGGATGGCCAAGCGTGGGGCAGTGCGGTGGTGTGGGTGATGAGACGCCGGGGACTCCCAGAGAACTGGTTATGTCCCCTGCTTGCTGGGAGTGCGCATGGAGAAGGAAGGTAGACTCAGTAGGGGCCTTAGCCTCGAGTGGCCATCTGAGAGCGGCGCCTTCGCCGTGGGCCATGGAGTCAGCGCAAAGCAGGGAGAGGCAGGGTGGGTGGAGACACAGGTTCAGCTGGGTCTGAAGCTTTCCGGAGGGCAAGGGCGGTGAGAAGGGTGGTGAGGAGGGAGCCGGCCTGGGTGGGGGCTGTGGGGTGGAGCGAGAAGCGGGGCACCAGGCCTCTGTCTCTGCCCAGCCCCGCCTGCAGCACTGCCGTTGCCTCTCTCTTCCTCCCCCAGGAAGTGTCGGCCGGGACCTCGCAGGCCTCTGTGCCGGTAAGTCCTGCTGCAGCACCCTGCCCACTGCCTCCCCCACCCCGTGTCCTCTTCCTTTGGTTGAGGGAGGATCCCAGGACAATGGAGAAGGTAGGTGGGTGAGGGTCTCCTAGTCACTGAAAGCCCACGTGGACACGGGGGCCAGTCTCCTCGGGCCCACGGGGAAGCCGAGAGCTCGGCACTGCGGGGCTGAGCGGCCGTCCTCTTCTCCCTAGGTCTTGGAGGCTTCTGGAGCAGGCTTTGCCGAAGCCACTGGTGAGCTGCCCTGTTCCCAGGACAAGTCTTTGCACATCCTCACCTACTTCTCTGGCCTCTCTTCTGGCCGGTCCTCCGTCAGCCCCTTGGTGTAGAAGCTGCCCCTGTCTGTGCCTTGAGGATGCTTTCTTGATTGGACACTATCACCCAGTCAAACCTCCTCCCCACCCCCATCAGCTGCGGAGCCGGGGGCTGAGATATAGAGGCTGTGGCTTTGGGGTGCATCCTGTCCTACATCTGAGAGTGGGCAGGGCTTCCTGGGGCAGGGGTATGGTCCTCTAGGGCAGTGCTGGTATCTGGACCCCCATTCTTCTTCCAGCTTGTACACAGCTCACAAGTAAAGCTGCTGGTGGCCTCGGCAAGGCAGAGAAACCCAGGACACCCTTCTTTGCAGTTCCCATGGAAATGAGGTGTGTGGAGGAGACTCAGAGACCCGTCATAGCAAATGCCCCTACAGACATGGCCCAGTGCCAGGGGTGGGGAGCCTGGGGGCGGGAAGGGGGGGAGATGCTGAGGAAGGGGAGAAAATTTTCAGGAACTCCTGCATCAGAAGCAGACTTTAAGGCTTGATCCACACTGACTTAAACTCCCTTTTCCACGTCTGTACATGAGGGCTCGTGACTCTCCCCACCAGATGCCACAAGACTGTCGCACCCACATCTGCTCTAAGAGCAAACACCACTCCTCATGTCAGGGCTGCCAGAGTAATGCTCCAGCAGGCGGGGTTTGCGTGTTCTTTAGAGCAGTGAGTGTGCCTGGCTGACCATGTGGGGTTTCACCTCTGATGGAGTGGAGGGGCAGCTTGGGGTGCACTTCATTACAGGACAGGGTGATTTTGGGGTCCGCTGCCCCACCCCCGCCCTCCCCCCAGGGGTTCTTTCCTGGTGCAGCTTCTGAGGGAGTGCTTCCAAGACTTGCACTGGCTGGCCACCGTCAACAGAGTCGCTGGGGAGGTGGGGCTGCTGGTGACCAGCGTTGTCCCTCAGACACCATTCTTCTGGGCTATGCATGTCACTGAGGTTTGTCATCGGTCCCCTCTGGCTTCCCCGCCTCCCCATGCGCCTTCCTGGGCTGGGTGTGGTGGGGACCCAGTGGGAGGGGGGGTGAGCAGGGCTGCGGCTGGACCCCTGGTTCCGTCTCCTCTCTCCCGCCCACCTGTGACCTTTGGTTCCCTCTGGGTTCCCGGTGCTTCTGTGCCACCACAGGCTCTGCACCAGAACATGCAGGCGCTCTTCAGCACCCTGGCCGCAGCTGAGGAGCAGCAGCCCTACCTGCAGGACGCTGCGGCGCAGCGCGGGGCCCGCTGCCTGGCCGAGCACCACCTGGGCCCTTACGGCCACGCCTGGAACAGGTGTGGGGCTGGGGGGGACAGGCCCGGCGCCCCTTCCCTTCTTCCTCTGGCTCTGGTTTCATTCCTGCTGCTTCCTCTGAGGATCTTCTCTGCTTTTTATCATCCCACCACCCAAGGAAGGGGAAGAGCAAAGGCCACTCCATGCTCCTGCTATTAGCCGAGGCCTTCAAGCCTGTTACTGAGGACTGATGCACATGGCCCTCGGAGGAGCTGCCCTCTGCTCCCTGCAGCCTTCTTCCCTTCCTCCCCCCTGCCAGGTGCTGGGTGCTGGACCGGGTGGACACCTGGGCTGTGGTCATGTTCATCGATTTTGGCCAGTCGGCCACCGTCCCAGTGCGGTCCCTGCGAAGTCTTAACAGTGATGCCTTCTGGACCATCCCCCCGCTGACGCAGCCGTTCATGCTGGAGAAAGGTGCGGCGCCCTCCCTCCTGGTGGGCACCTCGGGATGGCAGAGGCAGCGCCCACCTTCAGGACCTCATGGGGGTGCGTGGGAGCAGCTGTGGCCTCAGGGTTCCCTTCAGCTTTGCTTTTGACCTGACCCACATTCACTCTTGCCCCTTGCAAAGCTGCCTCTTGAGTATAGGGTTTCAGACCTGGGCTCTGTGAGCCCCTAGATTCCAAGGACCCGTGGGTGTTGCCCCATGGCCAAGTTTTCTGAGCAGGAGGAGGAGTGGGCAGACTTCCAGGCCACTTTTGCCAAGCTGCTGTTTTCATCTCTTTCACTGGGAGAGAATTGTTAGGGACAAACAGGAGGGTCTGAAAATAGTGCGGTTAGAGCACTGGACCAGAGTCTTTCTGATGTACTGTTACTTTAGAGCAGCTACGCGCCAGGGCCTCAGGTTCCACGTCCTTGAAAGGAAGAGGCCCTTTCTTTGCCCCTTCTCGAGACCAGTTGGAGGACATCTGAGAGGATGGAAGAATGCTTTGGGGGATCAGGAGATGTGGAGGTGAAAAAACACACCCACTTCTAGTCCCGTCCCCTTCTCCCCACCTCCCGCCCCCCAAGCTCGCCCAGGAAAGCATCTCCCCACAGGAAGGGCCTGGGCTCCCTGGGAGACTGGTGCCACTGGTGCCCCACGGTCAGGGGCACCACCTAGAGGTCGTCCTGGGTCACTGCAGGTAGAGGTCCAGGGGTGCCTGTGTGGGTGTTGGCTGTGAAGAGGTTGCCTGTCCCAGAGCCTCCCAACCTGTCAGGGGCCCGAGCGCCCCGCCCTGCCCAGAAGCGGGTGTGTTCACCTTGCAAGTGAACTTGGAAACAGCTCTGAGAGGCAGGCAGGCAGGTGTACAATTTCTTCTCTTTTTGGATGAGGAAAGTAAGGGTCAGTAAAATGAAAGGAACTTTCTCACATCACCTCCCTGGAGATGGAAGCGAGGTTCCTGTGAGCCAGTTTCATGCACACAGACGCAGGGGTTGGCAGGGTGGGGGAGGGGAGGAAGGTGGGTTCTGACAGCACCTTGCCCGCCCATGTTTCAGCATGTGAAATGCTCGCTCGTCACCGGGAGAGCCTCTGCTTTTCCCCGCTGTCTCTCCAGCCCGCTCTCTGACTAGAGTGGAATGCACACAATTTTCTGTCCCGAGTAGAACTTCCCTCATTAGAGTGTAAAATCCCAGATCTCTGTTTTTAACAACAGTGCCTCCTCCTTTCATATGGTCTACTTGCCCTTGCCTCTGCCACCTTTTCAGCATCTATTATCTCACTTTATCCTGGCAACAGGGAGCGAACTCTGACTCGCAGAGACTTGTCTAGGAGCTGGTCGTGGGCCGCGTGCCTGCCCGCAGCCCTGGCCTCTCGCTTCCTGCCCAGGCCACTCCTGTCTGATGAACAACCACCAGGGGTTTCTGTGTTTTGTTTTGCAGACATTTTGAGTTCACATCAAATTACCCATCGCATCCTCAAAGGGAAAATCACTGGCACTTTGAACTTGGAGGTAACTGCCCTTGTCTCCAACTCAGCTGTTCTCCTCCCTCCACCCAGGGGTCTAAGCTGGAGGCCAGTGCCAGGCCTCGATGCTGTGGATTTCCCAGGCATCTCTTACACACGCACGTGCGCGCACCCATGCACACACACGCACACAAAAACTGAAGTCACCAAGGGGCTGGGGGGTTGCCCAGACAGGCCTGCCTTCCTGCTGACTCTTTCTCTTTCTCTTACAGCCACACATCCTGAAGTTTGAAGAGTTTAAGTAACACGGCTATAATCAGCTGCTCCAGCTCCTGTCTCCCTCAGATCTAGATTCTGCCTGTATTGCCTCTGTACCCCTTTCATCTCGTGGCCTTGAGGGTGAAAAGGCCACACTGGTTCCAGGGTTGTCGTGATTCCCCTTTGACTTGACCTGCACCCCCGCCCCCCAAACTCACTCTTCAAGAGAGTGAAGTCTCAGGTTTTTGTGTTTTCAGTTTCCCAACTTGGTGCGAAACTTTAAACTAGACAGAGCAAAATTCCATTATGTTGAAAGCCTGAGACTGCTTTCTTCTTCTTTTTTTTTTTTTGCAGCCCCATAGCATACTATAAACTGTCCTAACAGATTTTGGAGAATAGAGAAGCTCGTTTCATATTCCTGGCATATTGTACAGTCAGGGAGGGAGATCTGACAGGGAGCTGTCATATTGGTGAATAAAAGTTGGCATGCTTCACCGGTTTGGGATGACCAATTCCTCTGTCCAGCCACCTTCCCCTGGCCCTGCCCTCCAGGACACCACGGTGTGTTTGAGGAAGGCCACGCGTCCTCGCTCAGCTCCGTCTATGGTCACTGGGCACGTGAGCCCACCTGAGACACAGACGCACACGGGAGGTGCAGGGTTCCTACTGCAGAGAAACTGGCTCTGGATAAGGCTTTGGTCCTTCCTTATGCTGTTACTTCATTAGAATCTGCAGCTTACGATCACAGAAGGGGTGGGTTTGACAAGAAAAGTGGAGGGTTACCTCGGAATCAGTGTCCCACAGTTCACAGGAAGTCAGGTAAACACAGATCCTGTGGTTTCTTTAAATAAATATGTTAGAGCCAAGCTATTTAAATAACTTTATTTGTTTCATCCTTTGGTAGATGAGAAAAAATACATTACAAAATACGTTATACAGAGGACAACTCACAGTACACATGACTAAAAACAAACTACATTCCAGCGGGGCTGGTGGTGAGTTCAGAAGAAAGCCATAGAGGCCTTGAAAACTGGACGTCAGCTCTATGGAGTAGTTTCCCCCTCGGGTCCCCTCTTTCTCTCCACCTTAGCTAATGTTAGCACCCCTCATCAGGTGGGTGTTGACAGCATTTAGAGCAGCAGTGAGTGGGACTGATGAACTCCCCATCCACCTGAAGCAGCAAGACATTAAAATCCCTTAAAACAAAATGGAAAAACAACCAATGTTAAAATTGCTGGGTCTTTGACAAAGCATTGGAGAACGCTGGCACAGACAGCTACCCCAAGGTTGGGTTGTTAGGCTTCGGGGCTTCATGGCAACATGCCGGGCTGCTGGCACTTCAGTATGGCCCTGCCTGTGGGCACCGTTGGGCCTAGGCTGCCCCAGCGAGCCCAGTGACCAGGGGAGGCAGGTGGCACGTCCACGCAGACATCACCCCCATCCTGTAGGCACGTACAAATAGCTCAGCACCCGCCGGCCCGGCTCAGCGGCCTCCCACCACTCTCCTCCCCAGCAGTGGCTAGAGCCTGGGACGAGGATGCAGTAGAGAACAAGCCCCTTACAGCTGACCCCTCCCGCAGGATCCACCTGAAGGGGAATGGCTTAACAGGATCCACAGTTCTTGAAGCCACGTACATCACTTCCGTGGTAACAAGGGAGCTACCAACCTTCACCTTGAGTGCCAGCGGGAAGCCACTCTGGCGGGAGCAGCGATCAGCAGTGCAGCTGCGCAGCATGTTGCCAAGCCCAGAGACCACGTGCGCAGGCCGCCCCAGCCCGCGCTGCGTTTAAAAGCAGTCCTGTGAAGCAGCCTCTCAAGCCTCCTTCATTTCCTTTTTCTTAGAAATTTGCAAACATCTGTGTCTAGAAGAGAAGTCCTAGAAATGAAGGTCATTTCCACCTACTACACTGAGCACAGCAGGCCAGGCTCTGCGTTCCAGGGGGACAAGTGCTGGTCGCTGCCGAGGCCTTCAGGAGAATCTGGGGGCGAGCCAGGCACGCGCTTCAGCTCCACCTTTCCCGGCGTCAGCAGCAGAGTGCAGCTCTCCTCTACTGAAGTCACAGTGGACTTGGTACCCCGCCCCCACCACCCAAGTAGTTCGGGGATGGGGGTGGGGTGGGATGTAGGAATAAAAATAAAGATGAGTCAAGACAGCATCTTCAAATTAACAAACTGTAATTGTTTTCCCAAAGATACATTTTTTTCCATACACATCCATCATACACTGTAACCAAAAAAAGCAGTGTACATGAAATAAGAGAAAATAAATTAAAAATCCATAGCATAGGTAAGGAGGCTCTAGTCTGGAGCACAGCTGAGTTTCCAGCAATATAAGGAGGCTCGAAAGTTTCTTTTATAAGAATGCCTGCTAGCAAGGGTTCCAGCCAGGTGGTTGGTTGGTCTGTAAGTCAGTCTTGAGTACTTGAAACAGTTCTGTGTTTGTTTTTTTCCTTAGCGTTTAGAATAGCCATCATTGTCCTGCAATAGGCAGAGCTATCACGTCCAGGAAAAATGAGGGAGGGAACCACAGAGGCAGCGTGAGATCCAAATACAGCATTCAAAGGTAATTGGTCCAGTGGTGCCTGGGGAGGGAGGAGGGGGCGGGCCTCCGGGGTTAGCCATCTTCCTTTGGGGGTGTGTACCAGCCTGCAAAGGAACCCAAGAGTCAGTGGGGTGGAGGCTCATCCACATGCCCGGTCCCAGCCACTCGAGACGTGCAGGGTGACAGGCCGCTAGGTCCTAGGACCGGCTTCCCAGTGCGGGGGAGAGTGATGTGTGGGAAGCTGAGAAAGTGCCTGCCTGAAGAGTTATATATAAAGGCAGGGACAATGTGCCCGACCTGCAACACGGAAGCGAGAGAAGAGCTTTCTCACAGGGGAGGAGGGAGGGCAGCACCAGGCCCGCAGTGCGTGCGCCTTCGTGCTTTCCCGGGAGGGCACGGGCCGTCGCCACGCCAGCCCTTCTTTGGAGAACAGGGGCAGGTGCCCTGTCAGTGGGTGTTAAGACTCGAAAACCAGAGAAAGGGGTTCTTGCTCTTTGTCTGGAAGTGAAACCTCAGGCCTGGTAGATGTCAGAAGCAATCTCCTGAATCCTGGCTCCAGCCTCACCGTTTTTTTCGTGGATCTGCACCAAGGACTTGTAGGACTGCTGTGCTCTTGTCAGACTGTATTGAGACTGGGGAGAGGAAGCCACCAAATCAGGCCATGGCCTCACTGTCCCCCTCACCTTCCACAGGCTGCCATCCCTGCTCCCAACACGGGACTCTGGGGACAAGCTGTGTAACCTCCACCGGGAGGCCCTTTGCAGGGCAACCCATCATCCCTTGCAGACCTGCACCCCCCTCAACCCACCCCCAGTCTCAGGATGCCCCTCAGGCTGAGGCCCTGCTCCTACTCCCACCAGCACACCAGCAGTCCCAGGCCTGCTCAGCCAGTGCCACCAGCCCCTCCAGGCAGGCAGTGCCGGCCTGCCAACCACCCAAGCTGCACTTAGCTCCAGCTGGTCCTTTCAACCTCAGGCCCAGGCTCCTTACTTTATTGGCTCCAAACTGCACTCGTGCTTTTCCCTTCACCAGTGTGGCACTGATCTGCATGATCACAGACTCTATTGAGTAGGCACTGCTCCAGCCCTGGGAGACGGGGAGGGACAAGCCAAACAACTCAGAATTTCCAGAGAAACTTGACACTGGCTCTGCAGTGGCAACTGCATGTCCATAAGAGCCCTTGCCCTTCACTCCCGCAACAGCCAGCACCCATACACATAGGTCAGAGGGTCAAAGGTCAGAGGGCCTGCCCAGCAGAATGAAAGGACACATCACACCCATGGCCCAGCCCGCAAGGGTGTGTGAAGCACAGCCTGACCCTGCCCAGGCCAGCCCATCCAAGAGCAAGAGCTACAGGCTCACCTGTTTGGTGAGAAGTTCCATGCAGATGGCACCTCCGCCCAGAACATACCTGCAGAAGAAAGGTTAGTCAGCTGTGCTGGCACAAGCACCAGGTCCCTTTCTCGCCCTCTGCAACAGGAGCTGCCCTCACCCCTCCACTCACCCTCCGGAGAGGACTGGAGACACAACCCTGACGAACGGTGGGTCAAAGGGAAAGTTATCCTGAGAGGGACAGAAACAATAATCAGGGAGGGGAGGCCAGTGTCCTCCACAGGACCGAATGGGAAGCCTGGTCAGGCGGGGGGACTGGAAAGGAAGCCAGTCTTACTTTAAAGGAAAAATTAAGTAGGATGAAGTCGGCTCCTTCTTTCTCTTTGAGGATCTGAAGATCGTTGTGCAAAGCGCTGTCTTGGTCAACTCTACGAAGCAATGAGCCCACCCTCAGACTTCTGGTCCTAGAGCAGGAGCTTACCGGTGGCACCCACTGCTCAGGCCACCAGCAGATGGGCAAGCCACACCTGTACCCGCTCGCGGGACCCTCCGACCAACAAGCCGCTGGGATGCCCTGCAGATGCCCACCAGACTCGCTCCACTCACATGCAGCTTCTTCAACCCCAGTCCCCACTCACTTGAGGAGTTTGACATTCCAATCATAAAGACTGTCATTCACGAGTTCGACTGCATAGTTTCCTGGAACGAGGGGAAGACGAGTGTTAAGGGGAGGTGAGTGGTCCCTGAGGCAGCTCCCTCTCCTGGGCGCAGAGAAAAGATCAAAAGCTCCAGTTCGCACCAGAGATACTCATTCAATCTAAGCCACGGGGCTCGAGGAGTTTCATTTCTAGCCTGGAAAGTTCACAAGCATTTGTGTACCCCAGAACTAAGGGCCCCCTGCCACCACCAAGTCCTCCTTAACAAGAAGCTCCCATTTCAGCCCTTTTCTTGAGGGAAACTCACCGCCTTTGAAACTCTGTGATCGGTATATATCCCTGAGCTCCTTCATCAGCCGGTCAGTGGCCTGCACCGAGCCAGACACCGCACCCTGAGGGGTGAGGTGGCAGAAGAGCTCACTGTCATGTGGTTTGGAAACAGTCCTACTAGACCTCAGGGGCAGTCTGGCAGCTTGCCCAGGATTTAGGCAAGTATTACACACACCCATTACCCACCCAAACGGAGCCTGCTTCCCAGACTGATATAGTGGCTTACCAC